CAGAACGAGAGCAAGGAGACCATGGGGCCAGGGGCTCTTCCTGTGCTGGGTGTGTTTGGATTAACAAAGGGATGACAGCCAACAAGAAGAGGGTGGGACCCCTAACATGTTGCTGCAACTCCTGCTGGCCTGAGGGTGGGCAGGGTTCATAAGGAACTCAGCCACGGTACGAAAAAGGGTCTTGTGTCATTTATCAAAATGTGTTCCCCTCCTCACCCCAGTTGTGTGACATGCTTGCTTGTGGCTTACTTTCTTCTGTCTCTTCAAAGTCCCTCCTGCTTAGATGGTGTGGGCTGTAAACTAACACACTCATCAAAGTCTGTCCACCTCTCCCTCCCCCCAGTCGCTGGGACACATAAAGAAGAGAGCACGCAGGGTGCTACTTTGTGAACATCTCATTTCAACTAATAATCAGCTGAGGAAAACCCAGGGGAAGCCTGGACGAAGAGGATTAAGGGGAAGGAATCCAGAAGTCTTTTGTATATCATCACCAGAGGTCAGAATACGCTTTTTCCCTAGCTTTTCAATCCTTCCTGAGTATCCATCTAATGACCCACTTAATCCATCACCAAGTCTGGTCCTCCCTCCTTGCAAGCACCTCTGAAATGTGTCTACGCTCCCATTCTACCGCCTCATTTGAAATGACCACCACCTTGGTGTTAGATTGCTCCCCCTCTGCCTTCACACAGCAGCCAGCGAGCAACACAGAAAGAGACTAACAGGCCACCTCCCTGCTTAAACCTCTTTTTGCTTAGAATTAAGAAGACATACCTATTGGGGCCTACCTGGTTGTCCCCTGCTATACTCTCTAACCTTACCTCCACCTCACGCCCTGGACCTTGTAATTATGCTTTTGTCACACAGGCTTTTTCTTTGATGCCTATACTAAGCCACATGTGTTTCTGCCTCAGGGTCTTTGCACCTGTGGTACCTGTGCTTGGATAGTCTTCCCCCAATTCCCTCTTATCTGGTCAGCTGATACTCATCCTTCATTTATCAGTTTAGTCACCACTTCCTCTTCATGTATCACTTTAGTCACCACACTTCTCTCCCCCAGAACTAGGTCAGGCTGAGGTTTTCTATTTATATGGGTGACTATTTGGTTAGCTCTAATTTCCCATAAGATTTATAAGCTCCAGAGACAATATTCATCTTTCACTCACCATTGTATTCCCAGCTACTATGCCTGGCAATGGAGATGTGAGTAAATCTCTGTTGCCTGAATAAATAGTGATTTTTGTTATCTGTCAGGAGAGGAGTATGGTATACAAAGGAAGTCACAGACCAAAGAGCCCTGGGTTCAAATCCTGACTCTGCCAATTTGTTATCAGGTGATCTGGGGCAAGTTGATTCACCTCTCTACATCAGTAGGTTCTCAACAAACTACAGACCCCATCATCACCACTGTTATTATTGCTGTTATCCAGTTTGGAGACAATGGGGTAGAAAGTACTCTGGGGAGGCCATCGGGCTCCTCAGGAAGAAGTGACAGATCACTCAGACCCAAAAGGAAACAGATAGTAACATTTTTTATTAAATATTACAGTGGATCAAAAAGTACAAAATATCTCTTGCCTGCTATGTGATTGGGAAACTATTGGCACGTAATACAGTATCAAAAGCAGTAATAAGTACAATTTGGAAAACATACAAAATTGAGTGTTTATAGTTGGCTCAGCATTCTTCTGGTAGTGTTTAAACTAATGCAAAGGTTACTCAATAACCTCTCCATTGGGAAACTATATAATATCACTGGGCCATGTTGCTATATACAAATAATCACCTTACAGAGCAGAGGTTACATAGCTGGGATCACCAAAAGTATACAATATTTACAACACAGGAAAATTTAAAAAAGTATAAACAGCCAATAGAGATTATGCTGCTATTCTTCAGACATATTTCAACCATGGGGAGACAAGCAGAATATCAAACACATCAACAGCCAACACTGGAATTTAAGTGCTCAAGATAATCATTGCAATGGTGTGGGTCTCACGAGGGCAAACTTGTTCCCATATCTCTTTAAAATTGGGAACAGAGTAAAACTGGACCAGATGGGACTTGGCTGACCACCACCAAATGTGACTTTGTGGGACACGAGTGAAGAGAAATAAATGGTTCTCTTTGAAGGCACACTACATAAAATATTTTTGTGGGATCACCTCGAAATTTCCATCAGACACACCAACACAGTGAAATACAGTACTTGAGAATTCATGCACCAGGTCAGAAAGTTGTAAAGTCAACATTGAGTTTTCACAAACCCTTCTGTATATGCCCTGATAAACAAGTGAACTTAAGAGCTTCTAGCTAGAAAATAAATAAGTCAGTCCTGTGGCAAATATTACAAGTTCCAATCACTTAGTAGGAGAATACTTAATTCTGAGACTCAGTTGGGTTATTTTTTCTTTTTTTTTTTATGTTGAGTTGCCAGAAGTTGCATGGAAAGGCTTTAAAAAAACAACATTATTTAGAATCTTCAAATCTCCAGTAAATCAGGGAGTTAGTGCATTTTGAATTGCAACATTTCTTGGAAGCCACACTCAGTAAATAGATTTATGACTCCACTGCCAATTAGATTCCACAGTTTCCTTTACAGAACTACCAATAACAATGGTTTGATTGCACAAAGAAAGGCTTGTGCAATTCCATTCAATAATAAGGCCCCTTGAACTCAAACAATGCAAACAAAGCCCCATTTAAGACTTTTTAAAATGTAGTTCTCAGCCAATGAAGAATTCAATGGTCTTTTTGAAAGATTTCCAAGATCTCTGTTCGGAGTTTTAAAACAAATAACACACTGCTTCTGTTGGGAATGTGTGCCCCCATTTCTCTTTATTTGTCCTGATGTTTTGCCGAGGGTATGAGCTTCCTCAGACAGAAACAGTGAGTCTCCTCTTGGAAGAGATGAGAAAAACAAAAGCTGGACTATGTTAACATTGTTTGAAAATGGTGTGATCAAATTCCAACATGATGAAACCAGACTGAAATCATCCCAGTGGGGAAAACAAATGCCCCATATTCCAAACGGATAGGTGAGCTCCACCAGGGACAGACGGCTCCCCATTTTCTTTGAGAAACAAACTCATAGAAACCACGTCTGATCTAGCCCAGGTCGGTTGCAGAAACACTGGAGTTTGCTCTGTCTTCCATGTCCTCTGATTCTGTGACCATCCAATCTAGTGCAACTTTCTTAGATCGGTCCTGGCTAGCGCTTTGCCAGCTGGAATTGAGATTCTTCCCCCCCTCTATCTTGTGCAATAGCAGGATAATTGCACTCCACACATTTATAATCTAAATTCTACTAGTCTATCTATGGTTCTATTA